ACTACAGTCACAAGCCTTCCATTCACGGAGTCAGTCAGTTTCTTGATCTGGTCAGAATCAACTTTTTGTGCAGCCGCAACCACAGCCTCCCAGACACAATTCAGAGAGGTGTACTGTTTACCGTCACTGTAAATTTCCTGCTTAAGAAGGGCCCAAAAGTTCTCAATAGGGTTTAAGTCAGATGAAGAAGGGGGCCATGTCATTAGTTTTTCATCTTTAAGGCCTTTACTGGCCAACCACGCAGTGGAGTACTTTGATGCATGTGATGGAGCGTTGTCTTGCATAAAAATGAAAGTCTTCTTGAAAGATGCAGACTTTTTCTTTTACCACTGCTTGAAGAAAGTGTCTTCTAAAAATTGGCAGTAGGTCTGATAGTTGATTTTGAGTCCATTTTCAACCCGAAAAGGTTCAACTAGCTCATCTTTAATAATACCTGCCCATGCCAGCACCCCACCTCCACCTTGCTGCCGTCTGAGTTGAAGTGGAGCTCTGTGTCCGTTACTGATCCAACCACGGGCCCATCCATCTGGTCTGTCAAGAGTCACTCTCATCTCATCAGTCCACAAAACCTGAAAAATCTGTCTGCAGATATTTCTTGGCCCATTCTTGGCGTTTCAGCTTATGTGTCTTGTTCAGAGGTGGTCGGGTTTAAGCCTTTCTTACCTTGGCCATGTCTCTGAGAACTGAACACCTCATACTCCTTGACATTCCAGGTAGGTTGCAGTTGTGGAATATGGCAGCACTGGAGGATAATGGGTTCCTGGTTGCTTTGTTAGAATTAAGTATGTTTCGAGCTATTATGTATTCTGAATCTGTATTTTGCACTGAGCGTATGATTCTGTTTCGTGTTTTCCTACTGAGAACAGCATGCGTCCTTGAAGATAATGTGGCCGGTGAGAAGCGGTTCACACACTTGGAGACAGCAGAAATTCCTCTGTTCTATCAGATAGGATTGTTTCTTTAGCTACACGCCGTACCAACAACATCCACACATTTTGCTTACCAAATATCAAGGACGTGGACAGAGTGCAGAAGAGGTATGCCTGTCCACGCCATTGGTAACTGGCCAATTAAATTCGGGAGCGTACAAATCTTATCTATGTTCGGGGCAGGCCCAGCCCAAGAAGACATCTGTAACCTGGAGCCGAAAAACCTCAGTTCAGCTGGACATGAGATTCCTCTCTGTCCCTCTGAATTCCAGCGCTGCCTCACTTTACCTGTAACTGAAATAAATAAATTATACAACTGAGAACTGAAGATTTCTCCAGCTTGTTCTTGGGCTTCCAACTAAAGAATCGTCTAACAGCTTCATGCTTGATTCTTCTCAAATCTTTGGCGGTTAATTTGCGTCTTTTCTTCTCGACGCGTTTCTTGCGACCCTGTTGACTATTTGCAACAAAACGTTTGATGGTTCTGTGATCACGCCCCAATATCTTTGATATTTCAAGAGTGCTGCATCCCTCTGAAAGACTTTTTACAAAGAGTCAGTTAAATCTCTTTTTTGGCCCATTTTTCCTGAGGAGAAGAATCTGCCTAATAATTATGCACACCTTGATATAGGGTGTTGATCTCCTTAGGCCACACCTTCCCTCGTTACACAAATACACATCACCTGATATGCATTAAATCCAATAAGCACTCAAGTTTATACAGCTTGGAGTTGGAAATTATGGATAAAATGATGATATGGTCAAAAGAATCACTTGCCTAATAATTGTGCACACAGTGTAGTGAAACTGCAGGTTTTTGACACTTCTGGGTTGGCTTCATTTTTTAGGAACGGTTGCTATGCTCATCTTTTATACAGTCTATGAGTGAAACATAAAGTAATATTTTTTGTCTGGGGGACCCTGAAGAAATCTGGCTTTGTGATTATGGCATTTACCCAGAAGACACAACTATTTCATCAGGTTATTAACCATATTGTGTAGACATTTTATTCAAGTTTCTACATTCAAAAACAAGGCCAGGCTTTCTGTAGCAGGGACCAAGACTGATTGTTTCTCAGATTAATAAGAAAATTTGAGTCCACAAGTTATTTGAATGGCAGACAAAAAATAAATAAGTAAGTTATTCAACCGTCTTGCAGAAGAACATGGAAGGGAAACATCGGGTCTAAAATTGTGAATGAATTCATTGCATCGATAGTACTTGTACACAATTTTAATATGAACATGTTTAACATTATTGAGGGACAACAATCTATATAAATTCAGAACAAATGTGTTTGATGTCAGGAACCATCACTTACCAAAAATGAAAAGCAGTTAGGATTTTTTTTGTCAACAGCAGATTTAATACAGTAAAGCTTGACACTGCCCTCCCATACCAGTCTGTAAAGAACCAGGTCACAAGTTTAACACGATTTAAATCTAACCCTAAGAAAGCATGTGTTTTCTTCTTGTATTACATCCATACATTGCACACACAAGTGCAAATTTCTAGCACTGAAATTCAGGCAGGTGCTGTGTGTGTGTGTGTGTGTGTGTGTGTGTGTATGTTGAATTATTTGTGTACGCAGCTGGATCTTCTTCCAACACACAAAGTAATTTCCTGATGGAGGAATTATTTATCAGTGTGTTACACGACACAGGTCCAGCAGAGAGAAAGAAACCAGCTGCTGAGTGCTGAAGTCCAGCGATGGAAGGACTCAGCAGGAAACTGTGACACCTGCAGTTTTAATCTGGCATTAGCATTACCCCTGCAGTCTTTTTCAGGACATGCATGACACTTAATGTCCTGGAGGCCATTAGAAAAAAACTGGAAGAAAGAGAAACAAAATGGTTGACCGGTTAGAGATGATTGATCGTCAAAAATAATTGTAAGTAGTTTGTTTTAGTTTTTGCAAACATGGAATTATTCTCTGTTTCTAGCTTCTGAAATACGAATATCTACAAATTTTTCCACTTCTGTATTACAGCAAATCCCCATATTTTGAGGGTCTGGCTGTTAGTCAGACATGACAAGACATTTGAATCCTTGTAAGTTGGACTGAAACAAAAAAATATGGGGATTTTTCACAATTTTTGCAATTTATTTATTTTTTTGTGCGATAATCACTTTACACAGGAAAAAAAGAAGCAATATTATGAAACAGAAGACAACGCCCACTCGCCTGGTGAAAACGGTGTGTCCGTTTTAACCTGAGGAGGCGTGAATCATCCTCATAGACAATCTTTGATCGCTGGAATTCTCGGCCTTTGTCGTTCAGCTGTCTGTCCATCCAGCCAATCAACGCGCGACTCCGGCCTGGAAAGACTACAAATTTTGCAAGTCGTCCAATCAGGGAGCTTTACTACCCGACGCCATTTTGTCCGTTTATAACAGCGGTGGTTGGGTATCGTGGTGGCCGCTGGCTGGAACCTGTTGATCTGTAGTTCCGTGTTGTGCAATGGACGGGTGAGTTATCCCATCGACTTACGTTCACTCTGCAATTAAATATAGTTTATGGTTGTTTTACTCACATCTGAGAGCAGTAACCTAAAAATGTCGCGGGTGATGTTTTTCCAGAGAACAGACGACCTTTTTGTTGTCAGCTTAGCTGTCAGGAAAGTTGCGTTTGTGGCAGCAGCAGGAAGCTAAGCTACCTGTGTTAGCTGTATTGTTAGCGTCAGAACGGGCCAGTCTCTGCGGGCACAACTACGCACCAAAGTCCAGCAACACAACCTGGCAGTTAAGCCTGGCCTCGTTTATATGCAAAAACACAATTCTTAAACGGATAGTACGATTTTTAAGTTATTTGCTTCGGATGGGATTGATACAGGAGCTGTCGGAAGAAGCCCCAAGCCGCGTACACAACTTCTGAACACTTTGACAATGTTCTCACGCCCACTGCGATGTCTGTTGATGGACAGTCCTTCACTTATAAGAGTTCAGGTTTTGTTGAAAATGACAGGAGCTTCGTGTGCTGCATGTGTGCCGAATTTAAGAGCTGGCAGAACTGATCACTCCGTATGTGTAAGAGTCTTGTTCTGATAGGTTTCTGGTTTTAAGCTTGGGGAAAACTTCAAAAACGCGATTTAAAAAAAAAAAAAAAAAAAATGGTGTTAGGTGGAATAAGCTCGGCGGCAACTCATGCGCAGTTTTTCTAAAACTGTCCATTTCGAACCAAAGACCTTAGCTGACACATATTGCTTCCCTTAATATTTTGCCACAAGTCAGTATTAAAATGTAAATGGCTTTTAATGGCGATGAGGTGTGCGCCGACTTGAACAGCTGCAGCAGTTTATTGATTTTATGTGAGAGGCTCGCGGTGGAACAGGTTTGTGGCTCGGAAGGTATGGCAAATATCTTAACTTACAATTAGCCGTTTTTTATGACATTTGCGTTCGGGTTGTTTCATAAATTCTTTAAATGTTTTAAAAAAGCTAAAGTTAGACTTAGAACTGACTATTGATAAATTAGTTTTATTCCCCTAAACATTTGACTTGTAAGAAAGTGTAATTCAAATAGATACAGTGTGGAGTTTTGCATGTGTGCCAAATTGTAAGGGGGTCTGTGTTAAATAATTTTCCATTATGTGTGTCAAAATTAGGTAAAACGCTTTAAAATGACTTTCAGATGGAGTTCAGTTCTCAAGATATCAAGCACAAGAAAGTGGTGTTAAATAGTGTCATTCAGAATGAAGGCCCTTCATGTGACTGAATATAGCTAAACCTGTGTTTGATATTTTCAGTTTTACAGATCTTAATGTGTTTGCTATGTGTAACTTCTCAGGGTCTCTAAAGACAAAGTTATTCTCAAATTGCTCTTCATAGGGCTGTTTGCAAAGAGCTAACACACTAGCCTCTGTTGATGTTATCACAGTTCCTATGGGAAAGAGAAACCTATTCTTTTTCCCATAGGAACTGTTTATTATCCATTGATTATTGTGTTATTGGCAGCATTGATGTTATGGACAGATAGCTTTTAATGAACCTGTTTGTAGTTGGTTTCACCTGATCTCTTAACTAGTCAGGCTGTGTCCATTGTACCTTTTAATTGTAAATATAATAAATGTGATGTTAGCTGCAGTCAGGAGACTTTTGGGCGTCTTGGTTCCTGATGTGAATCCTTGTGCTTCGTCAGGACTCATTTGTGCCCTGAGGGGTCCTCTTCCAGCTGGTTTACAGTCTGCACAGTCGTGTCTGCTTCAGCCTGACCAGCCGGTTTTTCACTTCAAGTCATACCTCATTGTAGGCAACATTTTGTTCAGCACTCTGCTTCATGTATTCATTTTCACATGACCCATACATCTATTTAAGGACTGTACTTTTGTACAGTTTGTACATTTTGGGGCTTTAATTGATTGTGTCTGTTTTGTAGGATCAAATAAGATTAACTTGATTGACCCCTTACTGGGGAAGTTAACCTGTTACAACAGGTAGATACAGCTGAGGCAGGACAAGAAAAAAAGTACAGAAGTGCAACAAAGATGTAATAAAGACTATGTACACCTTTTATATGTACAGAACAGGCATGATGAATTTACATGGGGTTACTTACAGGTATGGCGTGATGAATTTACATGCACAGATATATATGTGTGTGTGTGTGTGTGTACAGGTTTAGTATAATGGAAATGTATCCAACTGAAGGACACACATGGTGTGTGATATTGTACTTTTATACTGAATATCAGTGCTACATTTCTGTGCAATTAAAAAAGTTATCAAGAGAAAAGACCAGTGTTAACATGATGATATTGCACATATATTGTTGTCGATCGGGAAGACCCATGAAGAGAACACACAGTGTTACATTTGGTTGTTGAGCTGTATGAAAACTGTTTCTTGTGTTTTTACTCTTGAAGAGCTATAGGTAATGTGTTATGTGAATTTAGTTGTGCTGTGGCTGCAAAGAGAAAACGGTGTTAAAGAAATCTTGGCAATGTTTTATTTCATAGGTTTGTAATTTCTTGTAAACTTTCAGAAATCTATTGTTGATTCAAAGCTAATTAAAGCTGCAAGCAGCGTTTGTCGAGTCCTTGGTCCGCGTTGCAACCTCATGCTCGCCTGACCTCCATTTTGACACAATTTAAACCTGCTTTAAGTTGAAGGAGCCATTTTTCTCTCTCTGCTCAGCCTGTCAGTGAGTGACATGAGCAGCTGCACTGAGCTGTGATGATGTCATTGTTCTTCATGCCCCTGGCTGAGAGAGCTGAGAGTTTTACTCAATTTCACTCTCCCATACAGCCACAATTTTCACCAAATATGTGTAAAAACAGCATATTTTTGTGGTAAATCTTGTTACGAAGCCCTCAGCGTCATTTTTAAAGCTGTAGGACCTTTAGTTTTTTGTGTAGATGACCAAATGTCACAGCATGTCTGCACATGTCCCATAGACAGCCATACAAAGTGTGAGCCGAGGCTGCGACAGCTTATCAAATTTAGCGGCTCGCCATTCGGAAACTGTTTGAGAAACACCAAATCCCTTCAGA